ATGTTTCTGACAACGGTACTGTCTTGGAACTTAGCGTGTTCCTGGCCGTGGAAATGATATGTAGAAATCCATTCTGTCAATATTTATTGTCTCGCCATTTGTTTTCAACCTGGACACTTTCTGTGTCTCCTTTGCAGAAGAGTTCCTTGGAAAGCATAGTTAACTAAACTGTCAGTAAAATTTTATTTTGTACTTCACTTTAGATGGAAAAATCAAAGACTTTAAAGTACAATTGATGTTATTGTTCTTATTTAATTTGATTATATCGAGGCTTCTACCTTAGAATTTACATGCCCTTCAGGCTTGTAATTGTACAATTTCCACATGCCCGCTTCCAATTTTACCAGGTCCCGGGTATTGGACTCCCGGGATTTGTCGAAGACTGAAATAGTGATGTCGTGATCATCAAAAATCTTGAATATCACGATGATGCTTTGAACAGACAACAGTTGAAAATGCCTAATTACAAATAATACAGTAGGATAGGTAATAATGAATATTGTTTGTGGTCCCAACATCAGAAAAGTAGAATGGTGCAAACAAGTCGATGCTTGAAATTTTGTTTAATATTCAGGTTTTTCTCCCATCCTGGTACAGATGTAGTTGCTGACGCGGAGTGACGCCTGATGCTAAATTACATACTTAGTTTGAATTAGAATGCAATAGTACATGAACATAATATATCCTTATCCTTTCAGAGAGAAGAAAACTGACTTTAAAAGAAAACCAGTGAGATTAAATCATATGAATGTATGATGAATCAGGATGTGATCATTTGGTAAGTGGTAGTTAATTTAATCATAAATTGGAATGTATGACAATTGCATGAAAAGAAACAAAAGAAAATAAATGATACCAAATTTATAAAAAAAAAAAAAAATTAATTGAAATACTTAATTTTGGTTTACCAGCTGTAAGCTACAACAAGTTTTATGTAAAAGCTAGGGCTGGATCCATATGCCCCCTCAATGATATGTGTGTATTGTTGTGATTGACATACATCAGTAAACTAATACATACAGTCAAACTTTGTTTAACTGAAACCTGAATTGAACAGGAAAGAACTTCGATATCAATGAAGATAGGAAAATTAAATACATATTTACTGATTCTAGCTGGTCAATATTTCGTTGACTTTAAGGAAGCTCTAAACACTGCGCACTAAAGAGCTTAGCCCTTAGATGTGAGATTTCTCCTCACAAATAGTCCAATGTCTTTTTGAACATTTTCCTGGGAAATGAGGCACATACAGTATCCTACTAACTTATATTTATTTTGATAAGTTTGTAAATATATTTTTGATTAACAAAAAAAATCAAAATTGTCAAATTGATAATATGACTGTTGACAAACAATTCATGTTTTAAGAAGGGGTACAATCGTACATTGGCCACTCTTGTTGCCTAGAGGAGATGCATCCAATTTCAATATTGCATGTTGATCTATACCCGGTGATTTATCAGTTTTAAGTGAATTTTTCTAAGACAAAAACATATCAAAAAAGCATTTCAGAACAAAACGGGGCTTCAACTGGGAGTATGGCATGTTGTGACAACATAGAGACTCCCCTAAGATTGATCATTATGGTGTTTTTTTGTTTCTTTTTTTTGTGTTCAGTTTGTTATATTTGAGTTTTTATATATTTTAGAGGCATTCGCCAATGTCATTCATAAGAAATGGAGACGGGAGAATGGAAAGACTGATCTTCACAGACAGCAGTCAAAACAAAGCAAAAGAAAGCGTTCAGTAAGTCTAATTTACCTAAAACCTATATGAAAAAGTGATCTTTTGGGATTTATTTTAAATTAATTTGCCTACATTTCAAAGATATTTGTTAATTAACAGTCTTCTTTCATCATGTATAGCAGGGTTGTAGAGGAATTAAATATTCTTTGAAATTTATATTTTGTGTCAATGGGTATTTCTACAAAAATAAGGTCACATAGTTCATTATCATTGAGACTTGTACAGATATTTTTTTAAAAAGTCTGTATGATTAACTATGTGCTTTTTCCCTCAGGAACTGTAAAGAAGAAAGAAGACCATGGAACATCTTATCTAGACAAGTCATGGACCCCAACATCTAAAAAGAACTTGACGGAGTGCCTTCAGTTGGACATTACTTCACCTGAGAAGACTGATGACGAAGACTCAACAAAGAGGGTCAGGCTCCCATTTTCCTGTGACTAATTCGCATTAAATTCTCCGTGTGAATGCCAATTCGCAGTAACTTTATGTTTAATTCGAATTAAACTCTCCATGTGAACAGGGCATAAATATCAATAGTCACTAATTTGGTTTTCATGTATAAAATATTTATATAAAAGCAGCTAAAGCACCTGGCCATGTTTGTATTTTTGTTTTACATACAGATGCAGTGTTGATGTTTTGACATATCTGTAAAAATTGTTATGCTTTTTCATAGATTTATTTTTTATAATGCTGTAGTAACTTAATTGAGTCCCTGAATGTCAATAGTCACTAATTTGGTTTTTATTTATAAAATATTGTATTTTTTTTTATAAATAGTAACTAAAAGCAAGCCATGATTTTTTTTTTATGTTGTACATATACAATGTTGACGCTTTGATATATCTTTAAAATTTATTATACTTTTTCATAGATTTATTTTGTTCGAATAATACTAAAGAAACTGAATTGAGTAACTTAAATTTTTCTTTGTTGTGAATTTGAATAGGTAGTATTATTAATATAATTTCTGAGAATACAAATGTCATCTATTTGAAATTTGTTTTGCTGTTTACTATATCCTCAAGGTTCACTCATCAATATTCAATAACAAATGTAACCCCACCTGAGAAACTTGAAGATTCTCATAAGCTTATTCCAGTATGAGATTTTAAAGAAAATTCATCAAGAAAAAAAATATATTTATTCCAATAAATCCATTTAGATTCCATCAAGGGAAACCCAAAGATTCCTGATAAGTTTCCATGATACGGAAACTACTACCTTTCAATTCCCTTAGGTTTCCAACCTATGGAAACTCAAGGTTTACTATATGAATCCAAGCAGTTTCCTATTCATGGAATCTTTAAGATTCCCGACTAGTTTCCCATCCACGGAAACTACTACGCTCCAATTCCATAAGGTATCCCGAGACACGGAAGCCAGTGGAATCTTCAGGTTTCCATATGGTATCCAAGTGGTTTCCAAAACATGGAATCCTTGAGATTCCCGACTAGTTTCCCATCCACGGAAACACCCTACGCTCCGATTCCATTAGGTATCCCGAGACACGGAAACCAGTGGAATCTTTAAGATTCCCGTTCGGGAAACTTACGGCTTCAAGGGAAACCTCGCGATTCCACTGGATTCCAAGCATCGGGATACCTAATGGAATCGGAGCGTAGGGTGTTTCCGTTGCACGGAATCAAGGTGGAATAACCCAGTATCCCGAACGGAAACCACAAGGAAACATAATGTAATCTTGAGGTTTCCATATGGTTTCCATAAGGTTTCCCACAATGGGAAACTGGTTTTTTCACCCAGTGATGGGATTTGGAACATGGATAGATATAATGGACTTCTACAAGAAGACATGGTCACAATGCACATGCATACACGTGCATGTACGTGCGCTGCAATCTGATTGGCTGAAACTTTGTACAGCTATAACTCCCTTGGTTTTCAACCAAACGGGGTGGATTTTAGAACATAGATAGATGTAATGGACTTCTACAAGAAAGTATGGTCGCCATGCTCATGTGAGCACGTGCGTGCACGTGAAATGAGTAAAATAAAAAATACTCTTGAATTAGCGTATTTTTTTAATACGTTTGGATTAATTACTTTGATATTTAGTATATTAAAATTTATAGATTGTAAAGACAAGATTATATGGTCATTACGCACATGCATTTACATGCGCACGCGTGCAATGCTAAAATTTGAATGAAATTGGTACACTTCTGGGTAAACGTTGTTAAAGTCTCAAATGAGTTTGTCTTATTTAATGAAGCTTATAGGGAATATGGCACCAAAAGGTAGTTGGGGAGCGTTTGGGGAACATCTGTAACGGTCCCCGTTACTGGTATTCATTTGGTTTCAATAAAATTTGTATATTCATCATGTTCATATAAATTAGAAAATTATGTATTTAAATTAATCCCTTTCTTTTTTTAGATCGTATCTATCCTCTCAGAAGATGTCATTAATCTGGTGTAGATGGGGGGTTTGACTCTTTGTGCACAGCAAGTTTTCCAACGGATAAAACAAGCAAGTATAAATATCAATGCAGTTTTTAGCTCACCCGGGCCAAAGGCTCAAATGAGATTTTCTAATCGAAATTTGTCAGTTGTCATTCGTCGTTCACATTGTCATAAACGTTTCTCATTTTCATCTTCACCAGAACCACAATTTAAATCAATACCCCCAGGGGTAGGGTAGAGCCACAATGAAAATTCAAGCTTTTAGGGAAAAAAGTCACAGTTGGTCACAATCATATGTAAGCATCTTTAGTAAGTGTAGATTAAATTTGGTTCAAATCACTCATCGCTAGGACCACAGGGGCATTATACATGTGGATGTATAAGCTTTTCAATAATCAACTGATTTTTGCTTTTTTTCCAAGTCACAGTGCTCAGATAAGCAATATAGCCCTTGGGCATCTTGTTATTTATAACTTACTGTATAATCCCTATTAACCGCCCCTGCCCCTATAAGCGCCCACTTAGATCTTTTTCAATTGTCAGGAAATAAAGGCACCTTGTACAATGATCAAAATTATCTAGAAAGACAAGAATAGTATCAAAAGTCTGCAAATTTTTGAAGGAAAAGAAAATAAAACTTGTTGATTATCCAATTTCTTGGTGGAAAATGATTCATTTAGCATACTTTGGGTGGATTATCTTCATTTAAAATAAAGTAAAACATTATTTTGCAGATTCTTTGAATTTATTTTTTTTTAATTTTTTTTTTAAGTTAATATATGATATTACCTAAATATTACAAAGAGAATACCAAAATAACTGCCCCTTTTTCGCAATTGCCTAAGCGCCTGGGGCGGTTAATAGGGATAATACGGTAAGTGGTATGGCATTGCTGTTATAAATGTGAGTGAATATAATATAAATATAATGTCCCGTTATGAATTCATTGTTTGTTCCATCACTTATCTCCCCTCTCTTTTTGTAGATACTCAATCCGGACAGGTCCTACCAGTGTCAAAGAGGAGATATGGTACTCGTATATGTTTCTGAAAATAATTTTTATGAACCGTCATATTCATTATCTCGAACTCAATGGGAGGACCCTAAATAAAATTGAGAAATATTAGGATTCACTATATCCAGGGTAAAATACATGAGGAAAAAGGAGTCAGGACTTCCAAATTTCTTCAACATATCCTTGGTACTGTAAATCACTTTATATTCGCGAGAACTTTATTTTCGCGTAATTACGTGAGACAGTGTGCTCGCAAAAATTTAATTCTCGCGTATAATAGTATTCCTTAAGAACATATAAAGCAAAAACCAAAACTCGCGAAAATTTTGTCTCGCTAATAAAGTCAATGACTATCTCGCGAAAATAAGGTGTCGCAAAAATTTAGTGATTTACAGTATTTTAGATATCATTGTTCGAGATACTGAAGTTTAACTGTATTTCATGGTCAATAATTATAAGATGTACTTTATCTAATTTTGTTGATTATAGTTTAACATATGATACAAGTGGTAACTGAAGAACTACATCTTTGATAATACTTTGCCTATATAAATTCTAGAGGAAGCAAATCTTGAACCTGAAATGGGGATGGAAGCACCATCATCATCTGGTTAGTTACTTTTTATTATTCTCTCTTTCAGGGAAAGGCAAAAAAAAAAGAATGGGGCGATTTAGAAAAATTATTTCATTAATACCAATAACACAATTTTGCAATTAAAGTATCTAAAGTTTTCTTGTGAACTATTCAAATTTTGGGCATGTTCCTTTGTAATATTGAGAAAGGTTACACACTCTTTAAAGAAAACAGCTAGCAGCAACAAGCAATCCTTAACTTTAAATTTTATGTATTCTTTCTTAGGCAGTTGAATGTACTTTAATACAATGTAAATTTCTAGTTTTAATTACACAGGTTTCTGCCAACCAGAAAAAGCTTTAAAGACTATTTCAGGTGAGCTAATTTCACACATATAACTAAATTTTTCACAATACTTAAATATTGCTTTTAATACAACATAAAATTATGGTTAATCTAATAATGAGAAATAATTTAATTTTGGTTGTAACATGTCATTTGATTAGATTATTTTCAAAAAATTCAGACTATATCAGATGACTTGGGTTACCTACTTCAAAAATGTATCAGCTTGATGTTACATTTAAATTACGTGGAATTTGAAGGCATTTTTGAAGGAGAAATTGTCCCATTTTCTACATTTAATGATGGAGAATTAAAATGAATGAATTTATTAGCTACCCAGTTTATACTGCTATAACCTGTTTTGGCTTTTTTTCATACCATGAACTGTAAACTGCTACAACCCAGGTTATGTATACATGTACCAGTATAACTTGGGTAGCTAGTAAAATCACTCCTTAAAAAGAAGCAATGAAAATATGCTTTTCATTTTATTTATTTTCACTTTTTGCAGCTAACAGTCTTTCTGCCAGCAGCAGAATCTCAAGTGAGTATAATACTCATACCAATATACATGTACTAAGTATTAAATATGTATACATTTGTTCCAGCCAAGGGATTTAAGATTAATAAAGCAAAGTGTAATTTCTTCAAATTTCCAATCAAATTTTTAGACTAAATATATCCATGGAATGAATATCAAAAATGAAAGAAAGTGAATATTACTTTGATCTGGACTGTTTTTAATGTGAATGATCATTAAGAAAATGCACATACAAAAAAAAGAAAATACATATTCAGTTCATGTAACAATTTTGCTGTTTTCAGATGACAGAACTGCCAGTAAAAGAAAAGACTCCACAGTGAAGGGTAAAATACAAGTATACATATAGTTTCAACCCAGTTGAAACATTCAAATTAGTTTATGCAAATGTAATGCAGGTTCATGCAGATTTATCTCTAAATTCACACACCTTTTATTTTCTTCTGTATGATCATTCTTACTAAATGTAACATTTATTTCAGATCCAACAAAAGACAGACTTATGGAAATTGAAGAGGAGAAGTTGGTGATAATGAAGGAACACCTTAAGATTGAGAGAAGAAAAGTGGACATCTTGGAAGATTACGTTAACTGGAGAAAGAAGATGTACACAGAGGGCATGGAAAATACATGTACACCAACCGTATCTCCAATAATCAGAGGGCTTTTCACCTCATAGGCTAAAATGAGCTTTTCTGATCACTTATTCTCAGTCCGTCTGTTGATTTACGTAAGGGATCACTGTCTAGTTAGGATAGTGTGCCAAGGCATCAACAATAGTTAGAAGCATGGGATAATTTTATGCATAAACTGTAGTTGATGTCCCTGACATACTATCCTAACTAGACAGTGATCCCATATATTTTCATTTCATTGTGAAATAGAATTTTACATTTAGATTTTAAAAATATAGACCAATATATTTCAATTACACAAGGCCTCCCATGCCATTTTAAATAGCCCTTGCCCTCTGACTTCAAACACAAAGTCGTACAAGATTTACAAGCTCCTCAGCTCCTGACCTATCAATTTGCCTGGTAATATACATTCTTGTAGAATTGTCAGGAAATCAACTCCAATAAATTTCAGAGTCATGATATTTTTTCTGTAAGCTTATGCACTTATACATAAATCAAAGTTTTGCACTGAAACATGAATCAAAGTTTTACATTTTACTGATAAATTAGTTTTTTATGCCCTCGTAAACGAAGTTTCGGGGTATATAGTTTTTGTTGTGTCCGTCTGTCTGTCTAGCTGTCTCTCTCTCTGTTTTTCCGCAAAAACTTTAACCTTGCCCATTACTTTTGAATTAGTAAAGCTATGACTTTCATATTTCTCAGGTGTATTCCTTGTGACAAGATCTTTCTTTGGGTACCACCGAATTTGACCTATTGACCTTGACCTTGAAGTTTGACCCATTTTTACATGAAAATTTTAAACTTTTACTTTGGCCACATTTTATTGAACAGTAGATACCTTGTAGATTTCCGTACTTGTGAAAAAACTTAAACCTTGGCCATAACTTTTGAACGGTAAGGGATAGGGCTTTCATACTTCATATATGTAATCCTTGTGAGAAGACTCTTCATTAGATACCATGAACTTTGACCTTGACCTTTGAGATGACCTACTTAAAAAAAACAAACCTTGACCATAACTTTTAAAGGGTTAAGGCTAGTGATTTCATTAGATACCATGAACTTTGACCTTGACCTTTGAGATGACCTACTTAAAAAAAACAAACCTTGACCATAACTTTTAAAGGGTTAAGGCTAGTGATTTCATACGTTACATATTTAATCCTTGTGACAAGACCTTTCATTTGATAACAAGAACTTTGACCTTTGACTTTGACCTTGGCGTTTGACTTACTTTTAAAAAAAATTATCCTTGGCCATAACTTCTGAACAGTTAAGGCTAGGGGTTTCATTCTCTATATAAGTATTCTATGTGGCAAGACCTTCCATTTGATACCAATTACATTGACCTTTTCACCTTGACCTTGGAGATTTTTGTACTTATTGAAAAAACTTTAACATTTGCTTTCTTTCAAATTTCACAATTGTTTTCCAGTGAGAATACCTTACTTTTGGTACCAATTAATCAAATTTGCATTTAAGAAGTTTAATCTTTGCTATGATGCCATACGGGGGCATCAGTGTTTCACAAACACATCTTGTTTTAAATTAGCTTTGAATGAATATGAATATATTAAATTTATTAATTTATAAGTACCAGGTATAGATATTCAGAATATTTTATTTTCATATTCTTCTTTGACTGTAAGCACTGTGGCCCATGGGCCTCTTGATTCTTAAAACCACACCTTTTATTTGAGGGTTAGATTACCATTTGAAAATGCTGTACATATTTATCTAACATTAGTATATGTTGACTACTTATTCAGTTATTATGTTGTATAGATAAACTGTATTTATATCACCTGAGGTGTGTGTATATTGTGAAGTCCCCTAAGATGCTTACTTTGTACAAATTCCACAAGAATGTTTTTTGTTAATGAAACAAAAATTTTGTTATTGTTTTGCGTGAACTATGCATATTATATTATTTGTTACTTATCCTACTGCTATTAAGGTCTTATATGTATTGTAATGAGATGTTTGTAGAAAAAACAACAGCAACAAAATAAGGTTTACTTAATTGTAATGTCTTTAAAATTCTGAATATGGTAATGTTTAATACATATAATGATAAGTAGACAAGCAATATTGACCTGCTGATGATGCAAGACATATACATGTACATGTACTGTGATGTACGCAATACTGGTTCTGGTATGACTGCTATGACTATATTATTATTATTTCTTAGAATGATCTACAAAAAAAAGATTACTTTCAATATGAATAAGACATTAAATTTGTATTTAATATTATTCACAAATTGTCATTAAGTAAACTACTTCAAGCATAAATATGGAGGGTTTATCCACATGGAATGAATACGCTTTAAGTTATATGGTGCCAATTTAAGGAGTTTACATGTAAAAAAAAACTTTGTTGCTAGTAATTTATTATCTTCTCTTTTTTCTGATGTAGAGCAAATTGCTTCATTGCTTGGAAATTTTTGCTATATCTATATTATAAGATGGTAACATATTAAATTTCTTTACTTAAAAATTGTACTTTGTAGTGGCATCTTGTCATTTTCAGTACAATTTAGAAATTTTTCAATTGGTTCCTGAGTGTATAATCGGTATTTATGAAACATTGAAAGTTTTAATTCATGTTTTAAGGTTTTGTGCCTCTCATCATACTATTTTTGTGAAGTTGTCATCTACTTAAGCTGTGATATGAATTTATAAGAAAAAAACCTTTGTTCCTTGGTAAAAGCTGAATAATGAAAGTCACCATTATATAGAATTCTGTTACACATGTATTTACATTTATAGTGAGATGAATTATTAAATGATTATAATAGTAACAATTTAAAGCAGTTTCAATTGTCTATTTGGAGAAGAAATCATTCCATCTATTACGGAAGCTGAAAACACTGTACACTAAAGAGTTCCAATTGTACAATACAAAATAAGTTTTTGAAAAAACTTTTATGCAGTTAAAGTAACCTGCTCCTGTATGAAAAATAAAATAATATCAGACCAAGATAAAGTAACCAAATACATAATTTTACGTGTTCTGTATTTTACAAATATTATATAAGCTAGAAAGATTGACTCCTGTTCACTGATAAATCATGATTGACTTTAGAGAGAGAGAAAAGAGAGAGAGAGAGAGGGGGCATGAATGTGTTTTGCATGCATATATACATATTTTTCTCAGTTGATATTAAAATATATTATATTTCATGTAAATTAGTTGAATCTGATTGGTCGAGAAGCATTTGCTAAAATACACTATTACCCGCTGAATGCTCTCCAGCGTAGCAACAGTCAACATTGCTTGACGAGGGTGGTATTACAAAAAATAGCGACTGCGCAGAATTTATGCGCGCACTGTTCACTGTTATATGTATTTGTATAAAACATTCAGTATAATATAATAAATATTGCATGTAGTTGAGTGTAACATTGAAAATTTTCAAAAACCATTGTCAACCTCGGCTGCGCCTCGATTGACAAAGGTTTTCTTGGGGTAAAATTTTAATGTTACACTCAAATACATGCAAATTTATATATTATTTCATCACTACTATCATTATCAAGTGAATATCAAATTTAAGTATGATTTGTAAATGGGACTGCAAGAACTAATTGAAACGTTAACATGATGGAAAGTGGATGTTGTTAAGCCGATTAAGATATTCTGGTTACACTGAATGGCTCTTGACACACTAGACCGAGACACCCCATGAAGATTCCACATTCCGAGAAAAATGCTGCCTTTGATAAGTATCTTATTGTAACAAGTACCTAAAAAATTGCATAATTAAGCATTCAATTGAATATTCTAAGAAATATTGTGGGGGGTGGGGGTGGTAATGACTTCCTTGATATTACATAATACGCATTTTTGCATTGTTAGATTCATTTTATTTCTTAAATATATAGGTACATGTATAAATAATTTTTAATATAGGAAGTTACTCTGTAATAAATTCAAAATAATTGTGAAAATTATCCTTCAAAGAATCGGGGGGTGGGAGAGGGGGGTGGGAGGGTTGAGAGAAGAGAGTCATCTACAAAATGGTTGTTTTGCGGAATATCTCAATATTGATCGAATACATGTAAATATACTTGTCAAAATGATATATAGTTTTAAACAAGCTTAATACTCACTTTCATTTTTTACCACAAATTCCAACCGTACGAAAAAAAAGGGAATACAAATATTCCAATATTTGTAGTAATTTTGAACGACATCTTAATACTCTGTAAAGTTTAAGTGGGACAATATTTTCATACATATTTTTTTAATTTTCAGAATTTGGTATGATATTTCTTGTTTTTATTTTTACCACCTCAGATTTCTTTTTTCAATTAGCAAAAATATATATAGTCGGTGTATTAAAAAATAATAAACAAGCACAAGCATACATTCAAAAAAACAGAGAAAAACAAGTCCTTATTTATTAGAATTTATTATAAATTAAAGTTTATTTTTCCTCGATTGTAACTATTTAAAAAAATCTCGATGCTTTTGATTGGGGAAATGGAATGGTTTTTAAAAATGCGTATGTTTGGTATATATATGCAAGTTTTTTTACATAAATTTATATCAGTTTTTGGGACAAAGTGGAATAAAAAAAAAAAAATCTCTCATTCTCTATATCTCTGTTTTTTCTTTTTGTTCATTTCTTTGTGGAGCTTTTGGCATAGTTGCATACACATTAATATTAACGTTACGCAAATTTTTATATTTATGCAATGGTGTGCCGAGTCCTGTTGAAAAAAGAAAGATAACTTTAAACGTACAACAAAGTCGGACTGGGCTTCGTTATATTTTCATACAGAGATGTTATACCTGTGTGGGTTGACAAGGCATGGCTTCGCCCTGTAGATCTCTGCACGTCGGCTTCTACCATGTCAATAAGTCTATATATGAAAACTCAGGTAAGCGATACCTTTCTATCACTTCCTGGTCGTTGAGAAAATCGAGGGGGTTTGTCCGATCCCGGAAAACCCTCTCTCGTCGAAAATTTCCTTTCGCATCGTCTGCTAGCAGGAGAAAAACATTTTTGTTTATTTACGTGCTCGCAAGTTAATTAACGAGTGCCCCTGACCACTCGTAGAGTTACGATTAAGTTTAGTCGTAAAACGCAAGTCGTAACTCTTAGTGAAACGCTCTTACGTGCAACGTTCACGTTTACGTCTACGTTTACACTAGACCTGTTAGTGAAACTGTCGCCAGAACTTTAAAGACACAACCGGGCCTGTAGTTGTGGGAAAAAGATACGGCAGGACACATGGACGAAGTGGGGTTAGAGGCTCTTGGTGTAGCTCAAAATAAAACCTTTGATGTAACTCCAGCTGCAAATGGTGGGGCTGACACGGTGACCATTAACGAACCCATCCTCACAGCGTTACCGGCCAATTCTAAAAACGAAGGATTCAGGAAAAAACACCAAGCTATTGCTGACGTGAAAAAAAGTTTGCTGGATACTTTACATTTGGATTTGTTTCAACAAGATCGATTTCTGCCTAATGGAGTAGACGTCCGTTTGCGATTT